ACTGTATAACATCCCACCCACACACACCTGACACAGTGAGACATGGCAGCACTGTATAACATCACACCCACACACACCTGACACAGCGAGACATGGCAGCACTGTATAACATCCCACCCACACACACCTGACACATGGCAGCACTGTATAACATCACACCCACACACACCTGACACAGTGAGACATGGCAGCACTGTATAACATCACACCCACACACACCTGACACAGCGAGACATGGCAGTACTGTATAACATCACACCCACACACACCTGACACAGTGAGACATGGCAGCACTGTATAACATCCCACCCACACACACCTGACACAGTGAGACATGGCAGCACTGTATAACATCCCACCCACACACACCTGACACAGCGAGACATGGCAGCACTGTATAACATCCCACCCACACACACACCTGACACAGTGAGACATGGCAGCACTGTATAACATCACACCCACACACACCTGACACAGCGAGACATGGCAGCACTGTATAACATCCCACCCACACACACCTGACACATGGCAGCACTGTATAACATCACACCCACACACACCTGACACAGTGAGACATGGCAGCACTGTATAACATCACACCCACACACACCTGACACAGTGAGACATGGCAGTACTGTATAACATCCCACCCACACTCACATACACCTGACACAGCGAGACATGGCAGCACTGTATAACATCCCACCCACACTCACATACACCTGACACAGTGAGACATGGCAGCACTGTATAACATCACACCCACACACACCTGACACAGCGAGACATGGCAGCACTGTATAACATCCCACCCACACACACCTGACACATGGCAGCACTGTATAACATCCCACCCACACACACCTGACACAGCGAGACATGGCAGCACTGTATAACATCCCACCCACACACACATACACCTGACACAGTGAGACATGGCAGCACTGTATAACATCACACCCACACACACCTGACACATGGCAGCACTGTATAACATCACACCCACACACACCTGACACATGGCAGCACTGTATAACATCCCACCCACACACACCTGACACAGCGAGACATGGCAGCACTGTATAACATCCCACCCACACACACCTGACACAGCGAGACATGGCAGCACTGTATAACATCACACCCACACACACCTGACACAGTGAGACATGGCAGCACTGTATAACATCACACCCACACACACCTGACACAGTGAGACATGGCAGCACTGTATAACATCCCACCCACACACACCTGACACAGCGAGACATGGCAGCACTGTATAACATCCCACCCACACACACCTGACACATGGCAGCACTGTATAACATCACACCCACACACACCTGACACAGTGAGACATGGCAGCACTGTATAACATCACACCCACACACACCTGACACAGTGAGACATGGCAGCACTGTATAACATCCCACCAATACACACCTGACACAGCGAGACATGGCAGCACTGTATAACATCACACCCACACACACATACACCTGACACAGCGAGACATGGCAGCACTGTATAACATCCCACCAATACACACCTGACACAGTGAGACATGGCAGCACTGTATAACATCCCACCCACACACACCTGACACAGTATAACATCACACCCACACACACCTGACACATGGCAGCACTGTATAACATCACACCCACACACAACTGACACAGCGAGATATGGCAGCACTGTATAACATCCCACCAATACACACACCTGACACAGTGAGACATGGCAGCACTGTATAACATCCCACACACACACACCTGACACAGCGAGACATGGCAGCACTGTATAACATCCCACCCACACACACCTGACACAGTGAGACATGGCAGCACTGTATAACATCACACCCACACACACACACACCTGACACAGTGAGACATGGCAGCACTGTATAACATCACACCCACACACACCTGACACATGGCAGCACTGTATAACATCCCACCCACACACACCTGACACAGCGAGACATGGCAGCACTGTATAACATCCCACCCACACACACCTGACACAGTGAGACATGGCAGCACTCTATAACATCACACCCACACACACCTGACACAGTGAGACATGGCAGCACTCTATAACATCCCACCCACACACACCTGACACAGTGAGACATGGCAGCACTGTATAACATCACACCCACACACACCTGACACAGTGAGACATGGCAGCACTGTATAACATCCCACCCACACACACCTGACACAGTGACACATGGCAGCACTGTATAACATCCCACCCACACACACCTGACACAGTGAGACATGGCAGCACTGTATAACATCCCACCCACACACACCTGACACAGTGAGACATGGCAGCACTCTATAACATCACACCCACACACACCTGACACAGTGAGACATGGCAGCACTCTATAACATCCCACCCACACACACCTGACACAGTGAGACATGGCAGCACTGTATAACATCACACCCACACACACCTGACACAGCGAGACATGGCAGCACTGTATAACATCCCACCCACACACACACCTGACACAGTGAGACATGGCAGTACTGTATAACATCACACCCACACACACCTGACACAGTGAGACATGGCAGCACTGTATAACATCACACCCACACACACCTGACACAGTGAGACATGGCAGCACTGTATAACATCCCACCCACACACACCTGACACAGTGAGACATGGCAGCACTGTATAACATCCCACCCACACACACCTGACACAGTGAGACATGGCAGCACTGTATAACATCCCACCCACACACACCTGACACAGTGAGACATGGCAGCACTGTATAACATCACACCCACACACACCTGACACATGGCAGCACTGTATAACATCCCACCAATACACACACACACCTGACACAGTGAGACATGGCAGCACTGTATAACATCCCACCCACACACACCTGACACAGCGAGACATGGCAGCACTGTATAACATCACACCCACACACACCTGACACAGTGAGACATGGCAGTACTGTATAACATCACACCCACACACACCTGACACAGTGACACATGGCAGCACTGTATAACATCCCACCAATACACACCTGACACAGTGAGACATGGCAGCACTGTATAACATCACACCCACACACACCTGACACATGGCAGCACTGTATAACATCCCACCCACACACACCTGACACAGCGAGACATGGCAGCACTGTATAACATCACACCCACACACACCTGACACAGCGAGACATGGCAGCACTGTATAACATCCCACCCACACACACCTGACACATGGCAGCACTGTATAACATCACACCCACACACACCTGACACATGGCAGCACTGTATAACATCCCACCCACACACACCTGACACAGCGAGACATGGCAGCACTGTATAACATCCCACCAATACACACCTGACACAGTGAGACATGGCAGCACTGTATAACATCCCACCAATACACACACCTGACACAGTGACACATGGCAGCACTGTATAACATCCCACCAATACACACCTGACACAGCGAGACATGGCAGCACTGTATAACATCCCACCCACACACACCTGACACAGTATAACATCCCACCAATACACACCTGACACAGTGAGACATGGCAGCACTGTATAACATCCCACCCACACACACCTGACACAGTGAGACATGGCAGCACTGTATAACATCACACCCACACACACCTGACACAGCGAGACATGGCAGCACTGTATAACATCACACCCACACACACACCTGACACAGCGAGACATGGCAGCACTGTATAACATCACACCCACACACACCTGACACAGCGAGACATGGCAGCACTGTATAACATCACACCCACACACACACCTGACACAGCGAGACATGGCAGCACTGTATAACATCCCACCAATACACACACCTGACACAGCGAGACATTGCGCCTCAGCGTAACATTCCGGTATGCAATTAACATTCAAATATGTTTACACATTTGAACTGCAAGGCAGTGATCAGTTTTACCACGCACGGGTCCCATTTTCAGCAGTTTAGATAACTTGGGAGACAAGACCTGTGTCTAACACAAGGGAAGTGAATAGCAACCGAGCTACTCCTTCTTCAATAGTATTCCAGTGGTCCGCCAACAAACACATACTAATAATAGAAACAATGGCACATTCAAATGGATTTGAGGACCGCCCAGAACTGAAGGCTGCGATTTCACACTACTGGAAGGCAATCCTACCTGGACATTCTGCAGCAGCCAAACACATCTTTCTCGGACGTCGTCGAAAGGGCAACGCTTGGACAGCATGAGTAGACGGGCTAGGATGTCGTTTAGGTCGCTGGCGGGAGGAAGGGCAGCAGCCGGAGGGGAGGAGACGGCGGCTGATATCGGCACAATGCCCTCCACTCTCCCCATCACCTCTTGGCTGATGTGCTCCATTGCCGTTTCTCTGGCACTCGGGTCACGGCTGCCCAGCGCCTCCCATCTAGCAGTGGCATCCTGATCGAGGATGTCCATTGTATTCCGATTGTCTTGATTTCTTGTGGCAGGCTGTTAAAAAAGTGCATCAATGCCAATTGCTGTGAAATACATTGACGATGGCCGACATTTCCTCTAGCATACTCACCTTGAAAATCTGTCAAGATACTGAAATGACATCTACTGGCACATATCTTACAGGTACACTACCGCTCAGATGTTTGAGATCACTTAAAAATGTCCTTGATTTTTAAAGGCAATTTTTTTGTCCAATAAAAAACATCAAATTGATCAGAAATACAGTGTAAACAGTGTTAATGTTATAAATGATTATTGTAGATGCAAACAGCAGATTTTTAATGGCGTACATAGGTCCATAAACATCAACCATTAGCTCTGTGTTCCAATGGCACGTTGTGTTTGCTAATCCATGTTTAGTCCTTTAGTCATTTGTAAAGGCTAATTGATGATTAGAAATACATTTTGCAATGATGTAAGCACTGCTGAAAACTGTTGTGCTCATTAAAGAAGCAATAAGGAGAAGTTGGTAGCTCAGTGGTAGAGTGCAAGCTCTGTATGTATGATGTCCTGGGTTCAATTCGCAAATGAGAATTTGTTCTCCATCAGCCCAGGTTAAATTAAAAAAATTCTGTAGTTCAGTATTGCCTTAAAATGCCCAGAAACAATGAATTTTCTTCTTCAGTTTAATCTTGCTCTCAGAAAGGAAGGATATTACATGCAAGAAATTGCCAAGAAAACGAAAAACTCGTATAACGCTGTTTAAAACTCTATTCAGGAAACAGCCCAAACTGTCTCTAACCAGAATTGAAAAAGGAGTGCACAACTGAGCAAGAGGACAAATACATCAGAATGTTTAGACACCATAAAGCTCCGGGGAGCTTCATTAAATTGCTACCCTAAAACAGCAGTTTCAACATCAACACTGAAGAGGTGACTCCGAGATGCTGTCCTGCTATGCAGAGATGCAAAGAAAAAGACATATCTCAGATTGGCAAATAAAAAGTAAAAAATAAGATGGGCAAAATAACACTGGACAAAGGCGAACAGTGTTGTGGACAAACAAACCTAAGTTTGAAGTGTTCGGATCACAAAGAAAACATTTTGCTAAGCTGCAGACTGAATGAAAAGATGCTGAAGGAGTGCTTGACGCCATGGTGGAGGCAATGTAATGGTCTAGGAGAGCTCTGATGGTATTAAAGTGGGAGATTTGTACAGGGTCAAGCGGAGCTTGAAAAACGAAACATATCACTCCATTTTGCAACACATTGCCATACCCTGTGGACGATGCTTGATTGGAACCAATTTCCTCCTATAACTGTTTTGGTTTTCAGTATTTAGCTGGTATTGGGGTGAAAGCTCTCTACCTCAGATTACCTCAGCAAAATTACAACAAGAATGCCAACAGTCGTCAAGGATGTACAATAATTGCTGCAAATTACGGATTATTTGACAAAAGTTTGAAGGAAATAATATTTATTTATTCAAAATTATTATGTCTAACATTGATTGACTATATGATGACCATTTTCCCTATTCACTTTGCTATATGTCCTATTAATTTATTCAGGAACATTTCACAGTGACACTGAACTTTTGAACGGTAGTGAATGTCAGTCAGAACATTTCTATATCCAAGCAATACATTGGCAGGGTTGACTTTTATTTTTTACAATTTTCTGTACTCTGAATATGAAAAGGCAATATAACTGCCCCGCAAATATGCTTTGCTCAGAGTGACTAGAAGGAATAAATAATAGATGGCTTATTCATTGACAGTGCAGGTTAAAGAAAACACTGGTTTTTAAACCTGCACGAATAACTTTAAGACAGTCGTTCATTAAATCATAATTCAATATCTAACAAAGGATTGTTGTTAACAGTAAGACAGTTTCTGTAAACATCAAGCTAGCTGAAGCTACAACTCTAGCTTGAGATTTTGCATGTCTCAAATTTGTTTTTCATCATGCAAAAAACACCCACATATTTCGCAGTTATTCTAGCTATACCCATAACCATTGCGTTGTTTTATCAGTCTAATTCGCAGGTTATAAACGTGTGATGTCTGAATTACCAGGATGGTTTGGTGAGCTAAGGCAAATGGTCCATTCAATCTGTTCTCGCTCATTATCAGTCTCAAGCCGTTAGCTGGATATAAAACAACGATACACGGCAAATACACGCAAACCATCAGCGAGGTAAATTAATATCGCAGTACGTATGGCAAACATAAGGTGTCATTAACAAACACTTACTTTATTCACATTCTTTCACACCGATACACCACACGGCCATGGGACGTCTCCAGTCTGCACTGCAAGAGCGAGCAAATGTTCATTATACAGACCAGCAACTTGGGACGACATCTGATGGACAGGAAAGTGTGTCCAATGGTTTGTAGGATAACGACATGTAGGAGAAACTGTGCAGGATTCAACCAATAGGCATCGTGTAAGGCGGGTCCATTCCGCTGTCGGGGGAAACATGGGAGTTTGATTCTTTTAGGAATCAGACACACTTTCAAAACCGGACATCGAGATGATTTAAAAACTACACCTCCCAGCAGAGGCAGAGCTTTTTTCGCGAGAAGAGGGCCCCTCCTTTCCCTTGTTTATCAGAAATGTACAAGTGTCACACACAAACACACGCACACACACACACACAAACATATCACACATACTTGAATAGTGTATTGGTGAGGACTATGTGCTGACCAAAATATATTCCCAATAAAATTCCTATTTTTCCTAAAACCTATAACATGAACACTTTCACTAACTATAGAAACCTAGCCCTACCCTAACATTTAAAATAACCATTATTTTTATAAGGACCACTACACAAGATTTGCCCTGGGAGCCACACTTGTAAGGTCTTTCAGTTGTGACGTATGGTTTATCTCATGTGACACAAAATCATTTTAAATACTTTATGCAAACGTTCCATACAGGAAAACTATTTAAATACATATATTGACATTTTCTATATAGAAATATATTGCCCTTGGAAGAAATTGTATTTTTCAGCTTGTTTCTTAGTTTTGACTAATCATTGTGAATACATCTAGTTGCTGATCAGGAGATTACCACAGTCAGATGTGTACAGACTGTACCATTCAAGACTGTCAGTGTCACCAGGTGGCTAGTGTTAGACACATGTTGATCTTTTATACATACACACACAACATACACACACAACTCACAACATTCAAAACTGTGAATCACATCCAGAGATCCCATCACTATAATCGTCTCCATTATCATAGTCATGTTCATCATACTCTTCTGCAAACAGGCTGCAAAACATCACAGCTCCGACGCTTTCTGAGAGTTCACCATGGCCAAGCATTTATCTAAATGTGTCATTCAATCACCAGAATTATAAGATCAAAAGTGAAAAGGCAAACGCATTATTCATTCTTGTTTGACTGGTAAATAAATGCATTTGTTTATAGCTCTGACCAATGAGTTAGGAAATAATGCATGAATTTCTGATATATGTCCAATAACACAACTATGTACTGGTCTAATAAGGCATGACACATTGAAGAGTGTCTGGATACCACACATTCGCTTAATGATATGATTTACTGGTTATCAATGCAATAAGAACAAAATAAACAATAAAATGTAGATGTCAAACCTGTGCTATGTAATCACATGAACCAAATGTTTTGAACCCTGGGTGCTGGTTGGCTAATAGCCGTGGTGTATGAGATCATAATCCAAAAGTATGACAACAACTTTTACACGCAAATAATATATTACAAACCCCCAAGGTGACTTAGCGCTCTAATAAACAGGTTACAAATCCACTTAATGCAGTAAAGTAATGCAGCATTGAGAATTCAAATCATTTGTTTTCTGAGGAATCAATATAGACAAGGGGGTGTGGCTGTTCTTAGGCACAACGTATGGTCAAGTGCCTGGACACAGCATTTAGTCGTGGTGTATTGGCAATATATGATAAACCTGATGCCTAATTGCTTTTATGACCCAGTTACAAATCAAATTAGAATAGTATAGTGATGTGGTGTCATAGCCATGATATATCTGTTTCATACATGCCACATTCAGGAGCCAGACAGCATTCAGGATTTAAAACACCCAGGTTATAATTAAGCAATAAGAAATCATGGCCTGTGGTATATGGGCAAAATAACATAGCTAATATCTGTTCCTATTCACAACCCATTGCACAGGAGAGGCATTACAGCCTTGGCTATTAGAGCAGTAACACGGGGTGTGAAGACATAGCCATGGTGCACGGTCTCGTCGTTCAGATTTCAAACCAGACAGTTTACCATATGAGACACCATATGAGACCGTTCACCAGTGTGCTTAGAATAAACCGTGCGCAGAACACCTACTGCGCAGGCGGAAGTAGATTGTACTAAATTACGGATTCAGGAGGGAAATGTGTTATCTGCGCCTGCCTGCCTGTCGATCAGCGATGTGCAAGTTTTGTGCAAATTTAAGCAGAGTAATGGGACCCAGATAATACATGTTATACATTCTGATGTATTTAGATTATATTTATTTATTTTAGATGGCATTACACATGGACGCGCATATCGATCAGGTGAGACAACTTGGTGTGTAGCAACACGTCAATAACGATACGCTTTGTTTGGTAACTAACTACTTGGTAGGATGCGTCCTTTGGGTTGCTATATTCGAACAAGTGGTTCAACTTGCCAATTACTAACATTTGGGACTGTCATAGAAATGACGACAGTTATAACGTTAACTACGGTCACTAGCCAGCAATCTAAAAGAACAATTCCAGTGGAACTTTCAGGAGAGTTTGCTTGTTTCTGAAGCAGCTACCCGTGTTTCCACATTGCAGAGAAGCCCTCTTCTTACCTGATATTTGTGATTATTACACCAATGCTAAAATCATCATGATTATTTCCTGGTTAGTTGCTGGACTCCCCCTCCAAAAACAGCTACATTGGGAGCTACTACCAGCCCCCAGATAGGCTTAGATCTCCCTCACATATGAAGGAAGCTCCTGCCCCCGTTATCAAAACCAACAGGAATGTGCAGAACATCACCCCGCAAGTGTATCAGACCCCACCAGATGCTGGAAGCAAAGGTAAGAATTGCCCTTGCTTATAATATTGTCTAATGTTATTGTTTGTAGCTTGGTTTCAAACAGTAACTTTTTTGTTTTCACCTGGCAGCAGTCATTGCTGCTCTAAAGACTCTTCAGGAAAAGATCTGTCGTTTGGAGCTGGAGAGGAAGCAGGCTGAGCGGAATGTCAAGCAGTTCTCCCAGGAAGATAGTGGATACGAATGCTTTGCAAATCAGCAGGCGCAGCGGCCTCTTGTAAGCACCGCGGAAACAGAAGGCTCTAGGAAGAAAGGTACCAGACTGACTCTTTATATATTCGCAGTGCACCGTGCCTCCTGTTGCTGCATAGCCCAACTGATTTGTTTGCGTGTAGAGCTGTTCACTTCCCTTGAGTCTGCTGAGGCCCGCTGTCAGCTCCTTGAGAAGCAACTGGAGTACATGAGGAAGATGGTGGAGAATGCAGAGAAGGACAAGAACATTCTCGCAGAGAAACAAGTGAATAACTCTAAATACCTTCCA